GGGAAACTGAGCAGAGATGTGACGGAATTGGGAGGGATGGGGGAGGAGAGGAGTTTGTAATTTTAAGTAGAGTGATCAGAGGTGTCTAATTGAGAGGGTGGCATTTGAACAGAGACCTGAAGGAGGTGGGGGAGTTAGGCTTGTGGATCTCTTGGGGAAGAACCTCCCAGGCAGAGGGGTCAGCCACTGCTGAAGCCAAAACAGTGCCTAGTATGTTGGCAAAATAACCAGGAATCCAGCGTGTCTGGAGCAGTGAGTGAAGGGGAGAAGAGGGGGAGGCGAGGGCAAAGAATGATTGGGACCACTGCATCCCGTGGGGCCTCGTGGGCCATGGTGAGGAACTTGGTTTTTTTACTCCTCCGAAGATGGGAGCCATGGGAGAACTCAGAGCAGAAGAGGGACTTAGGTGTTTGGAGGGGAAGAGGGGGTTAACAGTTTTATGGAAACATAATTCACTACCATAAAATTCACCCATATAAAATATAGAGCTCAATGGCTTTTGTTCCTTTATTTTCCTTTCCTTGTGATGAGAGAGCCTTTAAGATTGACTCTTAGCAACTTTCAAATGTTCAGTACAGGATTATCAACTACAGTCACCATGTTGTACATTACATCCCATGACATTTATTTTATAACTGGAAATTTGCTTTTGATCCCCTTCGCCCATTGTGCCCATCCCCCCCGCCCCTCTGACAACTACCAGTCTGTTCTCTGTACCTATGAACTTGGTTTTGGTTTTGTTTTTATTTATTTATTTATTTTGCTGAAGGACTGTATTTTATTTAATTATTTTTAATTTTAGTTTTTATTGAAGTATAGTTGATTTGCAATGTTGTGCCTGTTTTTTTTAGATTCCATATATAAGGAGACCATGTGATATTTGTCTTCCTCTGTCTGACTTATGTCACTTGTTGTCCGTCCATGTTGTCGCAAGTGGCATGATTTCCTTCTTTTTTATGGCTGAATAATATTGCATTATATTCAAATTTTCTTTATTCAGGCACCCATCAATGAACGCTTAGGTCGCTTCTATAATCTTGGCTATTGTAAGAAATGCTGCAATGAACACAGGGGTGCATATATCCTTTCAAATTAGTGTTTTCATTTTCTTCAGATAAATACTCAGAAGTGGAATTGCTGGATCATACAGTAGTTCTATTTTTAATTATTTGAGGAAATTCCATACTGATTTCCATAGTGGCTGCACCAATTTACATCCCTAACAATAGTGCACGAGGGTTCCTTTTTCTCCGCATCCTCGAAAACATTTGTTATGGCTTGTCTTTTTGATGATGGCATTCTGATAGGGGTGAGGTGATATCTTATTGTGGCTTTGATTTGCATTTCCCTGGTGATTAGTGATGTTGAGCACCTTTTCATGTACCTGTTGGCCATCTGTATGTCTTCTTTGGAAAAATGTCTATTCAGATCCTCTGCCCATTTTTAAATCAGATTTTTTTTTTTTTTTTTGCTATTGAGTTGTACGAGTTCTTTATATATTTTGGATATTAATCCGTTATCCTGTGCATGGTTTGCAAATATTTTCTCCCTTTCTGTAGGTTGCCCTTTCATTTTGTTGATGACTTCCTTTGCTGTGCAGAAGTTTTTAATTTGATGTAGTCCCACTTGTTTATTTTTGCTTTTGTTGCCTTTGCTTTTCGTGTCAAATCCAAAAAATCATCTCCAAGACTGATGTCAAGGAGCTTACCACCTATGTTTTCTTCTAGGACTTTTGTGGTTTCAGGTCTTAGTTTCAAGTATTTAACCCATTTGAGTTACTTTTTGTGATTCTTCTACATGTAGCTGTTCAGTTTTCAGAACACCATTTATTGAAGAAACTATCTTTTCTCTATTGTATATTCTTGGCTCCTTTGTTGTAAATTAATTGCCCATGTATGCATGGGTTTATTTCTGGGCTCTCTATTCTGGTCTATTGATCTATGTTTCTGTTTTTGTACCAGTACCATATTGTGTTTTTTTTTTAAATTTTTATTGGCGTATAGTTGCTTTACAATGTTGTGTTAGTTTCTACTGTACAACAAAGTGAATCAGCTATACATATACATATATCCCCTCTTTTTTGGATTTCCTTCCCATTTAGGTCACCACAGAGCATGGAGTAGAGTTCCCTGTGCTATACAGTAGGTTCTCATTAATTATATTTTATACATGGTATCAATAGTGTATATATGTCAATTCCAATCTCCCAATTCATCCCATCCCCCCTTTTCCCCCTTGGTATCCATACATTTGTTCTCTACATCTGTGTCTCTGTTTCTGCTTTGTAAATAAGATCGTATATACCAATATTTTTACAGATTCCACATATATGCGTTAATATACGGTATTTGTTTTTCTCTTTCTGACTTACTTCACTCTGTATGACAGTCTCTAGGTCCATCCATGTCTCTACAAATGACCCAATTTCGTTCCTTTTTATGGCTGAGTAATATTCCATTGTATATATGTACCATGTCTTCTTTATCCATGCCTCTGTTGATGAACACTTAGGTTGTTTCTGTGACCTGGCTATTGTAAATAGTGCTGCAATGAACACTGGGGCGCATGAGTCTTTTTGAATTATGGTTTTCTCTGGATATATGCCCAGTAGTGGGATTGCTGGGTCCATATTGTTTTAATTACTATACCTTTGTAATATAGTTTGAAACTAGGGCACATGATGCCTCCAGCTTTGTATTTCTTTCTCAAGATTGCTTTGGCTATTCAGGGTCTTTTGTGATTTCATACACATTTTAGAATTGTTTGTTCTATTTCTGTGAAAAATGCCATTGGAAATTTGATAGAGATTGCATTGAATCTGTAGATTGCTTTGGGTAGTATGGACATTTTAACAATATTAATTCTTCCAATCCATGAACACGGGATGTCTTTCCATTTATTTATGTCTTCTTCAATGTCTTTTATCAATGTCTTATCAATGGCTTTTATTCTAGTCACAGAGTTGTGCTGTGACTATACTATCACCACAGTAAATTTCAGAAAATTTCCATCATCCCAAGTAGAAACTCTGTCCCCCTTACTTGTCATCCTCCAGTCTCCCCAGCCCCTGGCAACCACTAATCTACTTTTGTCTCTATAGAGTTGCCTGTTCTGGACATATAAATGGAATCCTGCAATATGCAGTCTTTTGTAACTGCATCTTTCACTTAGCATAATGTTTTCAAAGTTCATGCATGTTGTAGCATGTGTCGGTGCTTCGTTTCTTTTTATTGTCAAACGATAGTCCACTGTTTGGATGCGCCACATTCGGTTTATCCATTCATCAGTTGAGGCATATTTGGGTTGTTTCCACTTTGGGGCTATTGTGAATAATGCTGCTATGAACATTCATGTACAAGTTTGTGTGTGAACATATGCTTTCATTTCTCTTAGGTAGATACCTAAGAATGGAATTGCTGGGTCATCTGGTAACTCTGTAATCTTTTGAGGAACTGCCAGACTGTTTTCTAAAATGGCAGCTTCATTTTACATTCCCACCAGCAACGTATGAGGGTTCCAGTTTCGCCATTCTCACTAACCCTTGCTATTATTACCTGGGGACTTTGTTAGAGTCCCTCTGGCTGCTCTGTGAGGAACAGGCTGAGGGAGACAGAGTTAGAAGCTGGAAACCCAGTGAGCAGCGACTATAATAGTCCAAGCTGGAGGGCATGATGCCTGGACCAGAGTGGGGGCAGCAGAGGAGGTGAGAAGTGACTGGAGTGTGGACAGACTTTGAAGATGGAGTTAATTGGATCTGTTGCTAGATCAGTTGTGGGGTGTGAGAAGAGGAGGGGAGTCAAGATTGACCCCAAAGATTTACTATCAGCTGAGATAGCTAAGTGTGGTAGGAGTTTGGCGGGTGGAATTAGGAGCTCAGTTTTGGACCACTGAATTTGAGATACTCTAGATATCCGGGTGACAGTGTTCAATAGGGATTGGGTATTTGACACTAGAATTAGTGTTGGAGTTCACTGCACGTTTCTTTCTTTTCTTTTTAATATATTGTTTTGGCAGTGCCAGGCAGCGTGCGGGATCCTAGTTCCCCGACCAGGGATCGAACCCGTGCCCCCTGCGCTGGAAGCGCTGGGTCTTAACCACTGGACGGCCAGGGAAGTGCCACTGCATGTTTCTTGAATAATTAAAGTCAGAACTGAATCCGAATCCAGGGTCTCAGTTTCTCCCTCCAGAAAATGGGGCCAGTAATACCATTGTCATAAGGCTGGGAAATTCCTGGGCAACACAGGGCAGGATTGCACATCTGGAAACTAAGGTTATGCGTAGGGTGGAAAGGTCCGCAACTGGGAAGAGAAATGGAGGTTACGCTCTGTTCAGTTAGTGTCCCCCTGTCCGTCTCCCCCACCCCCAGCCTCTGGCTGCTGTCGGAGGGAGGGAGGGGAGACTGGGTTGTCACCCTGTCTTTCCCCGCTCTAAGCTGCGTTTCCTCCTCGGGGGCTGCCCGGGCCAGAACTGCTGATGGAAACCAGCTGCGGAAGGCGCCGAGGTTCGGCGTACGCCCAGGCCCCTCCCCGGCGCCGGCCGACCCCGCTAAGGGAGGGGGACGGGGGCGCCCTAACTCCCCTCCGCTCTTCCGCAGCCGGGCCCGGGGCCCTGGCACGTCCGGCGCGCCTGATGCTTTCCAGATGTGAGCCTGGTTCCCTCCCCCATCTGGCCCCGTTGCTCCCGCGGGGTAGGAGGGAGGGGAGTTAGAGTCCGATACCCCGCTATCAAATCGCTACCAGGGACCCCGGCCCGTATCCGCTCCCGGCAGGTCTCGTTTCCCTGTTCAAGCGGTAAAAACCGAATTGGGATGGGCTGAGTGCAGTAGAGACGAGGCTCTCCCCCACCTCCACCTCTTCCCCGGGCTCTGCCTCAGCCCCTCCCGCAGCCCACTTGGGCGGCACGCCGCACCCAGGCCACGCCCCTACCGACCCGCCCTCCGAACACTCCCCTTATAAACCCCGCCCCGAACCACCACGCCCCCTTGGCTGCCCGGAGGTCAGGCCCCGAGGTCAGGTCCCTCGGACGCGCCTCCGCCTTCAGGTCCCCTGCGGAGGGCGCGGTCTGAGTTTTCTGTCTCTCTACCCCGCTCTGTTTTGTGTCTCTGGGTGTCTGTGTTTCTCGGTCACTATTTCTGTCTCTGTACTTTTCTGTGTGTCTCTCCTGTACCCTGTACGTCTCTATGTCTGTCTCTCTCTGCAACCCTCTGCCTGTCTCTTAGTCCCTAGGTCTCTATCTCTCCAAATTTCCGTCTCTGTGTCCCTATCTCTCTTTGCCTCTGTCTCTCCCTGCGTCTCTCTCTCCCTCTCTGAATTTCTGTGTCCCAGTCCATTTTCAATGATCTCCCTCTAGCTCCCTCCACCTTTCTGTGTCTCTTTCCCACGTCTGCATGCCTAGCCGGACAGCGGGGGCGCCTTGCCCTCAGGGTTTCCACAGCCTCCTACGGCTTTGGCGCCGGCAGGGTGGGCAGCTCGGCGGGCCGCGGGCGCCCCCGTGTGGCCCGCAGGGGGCTGTAAGGAGAGGACAGCAGGCAGAGTGCGCGCGCCCGCACGGGTGTGCCTGGTGCAGAACCCTGTGGCCGCCCGTGGGTGACACCGGGAGGTAGTGTGTGACGCCAAGAGACTCACTGTGTGAGTGTGTACTACTTGAGATCGCGCGTGACGCCAGAGGTTGTGTGTGGCTGTGTGACCTTGTGAGATTTTCTGTGACAACCAGAAACTGTGACTGTGAAATCGTGTTACACCGAGACGTTGTGTGTGACAGTGTATGTGAGGTGACCGAGATGACCTATAGGTGACTGCGTGTGACACCGTGAGGTTGGGTGTCCCTGAGACACTATTTGGGGGATGTTTGTGACATCGAGAGACCATATGTGAGCAAGAGATCGTGTGTGACACTGTGCAACATGGTGAGGACAGGAGAGTTGTGTGTGTCACACGGGCAGATGGTGTGTGAGAGAGGGCGAGAATGAATGAGTGTGATCCACCAAGTAATGATGTGAGAAGCAGTGTGAGAGGCCCCGGGGGCGGGGGAGCTGGGTGTGAGAGAGTGACCATGTGAGTGTGAGACAGGATGTTTCAGCCACACTGATGACGTATGAGAAGCTGGGTGGGACTGTGTGTAACACAGATCGTGTGGGACACTGAGACTGGCCCAGTGTCATGACAGTGCATTAGAGAGTGTTCAACCGTCCTGGGCACTCAGATGGGTGTACGAGAGAAACCTCGTGTGTGTAAGTGTACGTGTGTGACACCAGGAGATTGCGGTGTGAGGGCGACAGCTGTGTGTGACACATTGTGTAAGGCTCGGCATGACATCCTGAGAGATTGTGTGCGATCCTGTGCGAAGCCGTGTGTGTATACTTGACACTCTTGAGTTGTGTAAGATGTCACCAGTGAGGATGGGCCGGACTCGGAGAGACTGTGAGGGACCGTGTGACGTTTTGAGAGGCTGTGTGACTGTGGCGCTCTGGGAGGTTGTGTGTTGAGCACAGCTGGTTCAGGAGACCGTGTGCAGCACCGTGTGACACAGCGGGACATTGTGCATTTCTCTGCCAGGGACAGTGAGTGTGAGTCTGCTTGCTGAGAGGGGTCATCTGGGATGGGGTGACACTGAGGTGGGGGATGACAGGGTGGCAGAGCATATGTAATGGAGTGAGAGGCTGTGTGGGACCCACAGGAGAGATTTGTGTGACTGTGGAATAAATGCAGCAGAGCATGAGGCACATCTTGAGAGACTGTCTTTACCTGTGAGTGTGTGTGTGTGTGTGTGTGTGTGTGTGAGAGAGAGAGAGAGAGAGACAGAGATTGAGAGACAGAGACAGAGACAGAGATTGAGAGGGGAGACTGCAAGAGAGATAGAGGGAGAGAGAGAGGCACAGAAACACAAAGACAAAGAGGGGGACGGACAGACATAACAAGAGGACCCAGAGAGACGGAGGCGAGGCAGCGAGGGCGAAGGGGATGGTGGTGGCAGTGGCAGGAGGAGGCGGGTCCTCAGGGACTGTGCCCCAGGAGAGGGGGCGGGGCGGGGCTGAGTGGGGACCCAGACGCTGCTTCCCAGCCTCTGCCACCCGCCGCCATCCCAGCCCTGAGCAGCAACAGGTAGGAGGCTCCGGTCTCGGCCCCGCCAGCTAGTTCCTCTGCCTGGGAATGAATGGATGCGTGAGTGAATGAATGACTTTACACTTCTGCATCTCCATCAGCCCGTCTCTCCCTCTGTCCCTCCATGTGCCCCTCTCTGTCCCCTTTCGTCACTCCATCTCTCCTCCTGCCCTTCCATTTCCTTCTCTCTGTCCCCCTGCCCCTTCTCTCCTCTGTCCCTTTATCTCCTCTGTGCCTCTCTCTCCCTCTCCTCGCTGTCCCTCCCTCTACCGCTCCATTTGTCCCTCTCTCTCCTCTCCCACTCCATCACTCCATCCCTCCCCAACCCTTCCACCTCCCCTTCTCTATCCTCCCTCGGTCCCCTCGTCCCCTCTGTGCTTCCCTCCCCCTGTATCACTCTGTCCCTTTCTTTACCCCTCTATTTGTCTCCCTCTTTCGCTGCTCCCTCCATCACTCCGTCCCTCCCCATCTCTCCATCTTTCTATCCCTCCTCAGTCTCTTTATTCCCCCCTGTGCCTCAGACTCTGCCTCGTCATTTTGTCTCTTCCTCTGCCCCTCTGTTTGTCCCTCTTTCCATCCTTTCTACCCCTCTCCCAGTCATGGCTGGGTTGCCCCCCCTCTCCAGCCCTCTCTCCGGCTGCTAATGAGCAAGAGAAGCCTTTGAGGTGGCCAGAGCTGGGGTGAGGGGGGCTCCCCGAGGGGGGCGGAGGGGCCAGCTGCTGCAAAGGCCCTAATGAGGCCCCCTCTGGGCCCCTCCCACCGTGATCTTAATTCCCCCTTCTCCCTGGAGCCACCGCTAATTGGCCTGGGGAGGGACCCCTCCTGGCTCATGCTGTATCCCCGGGAGATGAAGACACCTGGATCCCTGGATCTTGATCCAACACCTGTGGCCCTGTCCTTCTGTCCCTCCCTCCACCTGCCTCTCAGCCTCCCATCTGTGCTTCCCTCCCGGCTTCCCTCTCCTCTCTCTGTTCCTCCCTCCACCTGACTCTAGGTACCCCATCCGTGCACCCCTCCATCCCTCCACTTGCCCCTCTCCTCTCTGTTCATCTGTCCCTCTTTCGGCCGACTTCTTGGTCCCCCATCTGCGCAGATCTTCATCTCTCCCCTTTTCTTCTGTTTTCCTGTCCCTTCCTCCACCTTCCTCTGGGCACCCCTTTCGTGCACCCTTCCACGCACGCCCCTGTTACTGGGTCCCATCACCACCGCCATCCCTATCTGGGGACCCAGCTTTGCCCTAGCCTGCCCCTCCGCCCCGACTCCCGCCGGCTTTTAACCCTGTCCCCGCCGCAGCCATGTCCAACAACATGGCCAAGATAGCGGAGGCCCGGAAGACGGTGGAACAGCTGAAGCTGGAGGTGAACATCGACCGTATGAAGGTGCTGGGTCGGGGTGGGGAGGAAGGCGGGGGCTCCGGGGCTGGGGTTTGGACCGGTCAGTGTTGGGAGTGGGGCCGGGAGCAGTGTAGAGATCCCCTTCGGAACCGGACAGAACCCGGGGAGGGGGCCTAGGCAAGGGGGCGGAGCCCAATAAGGGACGTGGCCGGAGCTAAGGCGGGGCCCAAGGGCGGGCCCGGGTAATGGGAGCGGTCCGGACAAGGGGGCGGGGCCTGATAAGGGGCGGGCCTGACCCGAGGAGGGGCCCAGGCAAAGGGCGGGGCGGGGCGTGAACATCTCCACCCGGGTGCCCGCAGGTGTCACAGGCGGCGGCCGAACTCCTGGCCTTCTGCGAGACTCACGCCGAAGACGACCCGTTGGTGACGCCGGTACCCGCCGCAGAGAACCCCTTCCGCGACAAGCGCCTCTTCTGCGTCCTGCTCTGAGCCCTCCCGACAGCTTACCTCCCCTGTCAAAGGATGAATCCAATAAACGTGGTGACTGTGGTGGTGCCTGTGCTTTCGGGGAAACTGAGGCACGCGCAGAGCTTGGGGCCACCGTAGGGGAGCCGGTGTCCCGTCTCACCCCTTCTGAGTGTGTGTGGAGTGTCTGGCGGGGCGTGAGGTTATGCGGGGTTTGTGGATGCGGAGGGGTTAGGGGAGGAAATGAGCGCTCCTGGCTCTGGCCTCCACAGAGTGTTCCGCGATCCTGAATTTATTTAATCGACCCAGCAGCCTCAGAAAGCAGCTGGCTACTTGTATGACACCCATTTTACAGATGAGGAAACTGAGCCAAAGGTGGCTAGGAGATAATGGGGTGAAGACTGGACTCCAGCGCTACCTGAACCTCTCAGCTGGCCTCTCTTCTCTCCTCCCTCCTGAGTTGGAGGTTCTTAGAATCCCCAGTGTGCACCTTTCTCATCCCCTGAATGATTCCACCCCCTTTTTCCACATCTGGTTAGTCCCTGACACAGGCCCCGCTCTCCTTAAGCACTGAACTTTTCTCTGTTCATTTATTCATTATTCCAAACACTCCTGGCCCTGTGCTGGTTGAAACTGGGGACACGGTCATGACTGAGACAGTCCTGGCCCTGGGCTTCTGGGGCTCAGAATCCAGTGGGAGAGACAGACCTGTCCCCAGATAGTGATGATTCGGAGTGGGCAAGGCTGGGATGGGGGAATTCAGAGGGAATGCCTGACTCAGCTTGAAGGTCAGGGAGGGCTTCCTGGAGGAGGGAACATCTGAGCTGGGACATGGTGATAATAAAACTTGGGGACCCAGGGAACTTCCCTAGCGGTCCTGTGGTTAGGACTCTGTGCTTCCACTGCAGGGGTCACGGGTTCGATCCCTCGTCAGGGGAACTAAGATCCCGCATGCCACGGAGTGTGGCCAAAACAACCCCCAAAAAAACAAACACAAAAACTTGGGGACCCAGAGAAGAGAGATGTGTGGCTACGGGAGACAAATTAGTGTATGCATTCCTCCCGATTTCCTTTGTTCTGGGGACACAGGTGACTGTGACAGCCCTGGTTCCTGTCCTGTGTTTACCACTTCACACATTGGTGGTCTGCAGGACCTATATAGCCTTCAGTTAGATAGGAGTACTTCACATAAAAGTCCATATTTCTGGCTTCTTCCATTTGGAAGGGCTGGTGACCTCAGACCTGCACAACTCTGCAGGGTGACCAGAGGCTATGAGATGGGCCCTGGGCCTTCTAGTTTGCCAAAGTCCCCACCACACCCCATTGTCTCCCAGTTAAGGAGGCTGAGAGTCAGTTACTATTTATCACAGAGCCTGTGCCGAGGGCTTCTTACAGAGGAATGAAGAGAAAGGTAAAATATCTTGAGCCCATGTCTCTGTTGAAAATAAAGAAATGCAGACTGGACTTCCCTGGTGGCACAGTGGTTAAGAATCCACCTGCCAATGCAGGGGACATGCATTCCAGCCCTGGTCCAGGAAGATCCCACGTGCCACGGAGCAGCAACTAAGCCCGTGCGCCACAACTACTGAGCCTGCGCTTACTAGAGCCCGCGAGACACAACTACTGAGCCCACGTGCCACTGAAGCCCCCGCGCCTAGAGCCTGTGCTCCGCAACAAGAGGAGTCACCGCAATGAGAAGCCCGTGCACCGCAGCAAAGAGTAGCCCCCGCTCGCCACAACTATAGAAAGCCCAAGTGCAACAACAAAGACCCAACGCAGCCAACAATAAATAAATAAATTTTAAAAAAAGAAGTGCAGACTGGGTGACCTGTGGGTTTGGTTAATTATTTTACCTGGTTGGTCCAAGGGCCACTGAGTTTGCAACCTCTCCCCTCTCCTCACTCTCTCGTCTTGAGACTGCACCCTGGATCTGGATGAAGATGGCTCACTGGGCCTCCGCTCCCCAGAGAGGGACTGTGCCTGTGTCTGGCAAGTGCTCCATTATTCACATTGGATTAGGGTCCCCTGGGTCCCAACTCTGAGCTTCCTGTTGAATTGAGGCAAGAGAAGCTGTAATTATATCTCCCTCCTGTCTCCTACCTCTCAGCCAGCTCCGGTCTGGTTGCATCATGTCTGTGGGAGCCCCGGGGGAGATGGGGGACAGAGAGAGCCAAGGATGAGCTCAGGGTGGGGAGTGGGGGGAGGAGGGATGCTGGGAGGGAAGTTGCCAGAAGGATTCTGGAATTTCACAGACCCAGCATCCTTGCATCTTAGAGCCTGAAATGCAAAGGAATCTAGAATCCCAGGAACTTGGAGGGCTGGAATTCTGGAGTCTTTGACCAGTGCGGGGGCCAGGATGCTGGGGTCCAGCGCCCTTGTCGGGCTAGGATTCCAGAGCTCGGCACTTCAGGAGTGTAAGGATTTCTTGAGCCTGGACTGTTGGGATTTAGATCCTTTGAGCCCTGGGATCTTGGAACCTGTCTGGGGGAATGGAAGCTGGGGAGAAGCAAGTGGGGCTGGCTGACCTGGTGGGGGGCAGGGAGTGGGAGGAAATGTCTGCCTGGAGAAGGAGGGGGGCTGGGTGAGCCTGCACCCAGACTGAGGCTGGGAGGGAGGAGAAGCCAGAAGGGAGAAGCCAGAGCAGGTCCTGGGTGACCAGCCTGCAAACCAGATAACGTCATTAGCGGGTATGATTCCGTAGCACCCGCTTCTGGTTACCCGCTGCTCTTTCCTGCCACCCCCAGCTCTGAAGTCAGCTCTGGGGTCAGGCCCAGGCTGGAGTCAGAGCCAGGCCAAGAGGCAGAGAGTTGAAGGCCTGGGGTAGTCCTTGCGCCCAGCAGTTCTCTCCCATTTCACCCCAAACCCCAGGGCTGGGGGCTGCCCCACCCAGCTGTCCTCCTTCCACACCCCAGCCATGTGCTTGGCACTGAGGGGCCGGGGGTAAGGGGTGGGACAGCCCAGAGCCAGAAGGATCCAGAATCACGGCCATCACTTATTGGGAGTCCGGTTTCACAAGCCCCATCTCCCGTAATTCTCACGGTAGCCCCCAAAAGACTCTGTTTACCCCAATTTTACAGACGTGGAAGAGCGGCATGGAGAAGTGATGTCACCTGGTCAGTCGGGGTTTGAGGATGGAGTGGGAGAGAAGTCGATGGATGACTTCTGGAGGGGCTGGAGGGGTTCAAAGGGGGCCTTGAAGGACAGAAGTAAGGGGACCTCAGGTGAGGTTCACGGCCCAGGCAAAGGTGGGAAAGGAGCGACAGAGCAGGGACACCAGGAGCCGGAGAGGGAAACAGCGGCCAGTAGGTAGGCAAGGACCTACTGGTGGTGGAGAAAAGGGCGGTGGGCAGAGAAAATTGGCCTCTAGCTGGGGCGGCTGGGACCTGCTAAGGAAGGATGGGTCAGGATGGACACACAGCGGCTTCTCACAGCAGTGAGAGGGCACAGGTGACAGGCGGGCCTGGCAGGCGTGAGCAGCTGGTGGCGTGTGTGTGGGGTACGCGGTGAGGCCAGCTTCCTCCCAGGGCAGGACCAGAAGGACGGAAACCAGGGAGCCAGGAGAGGGTCGGGCGCAGGGTGGGCTGGCATCTTAGGTCAGGCAGGCCTGGGCAGGCAGCAGGAGGCGCTGGCCGGCAGGTGTAGAAGAGCCCATCCCGGTCCCATTTCCTGGCCTGGTTGGTGCTTGCCCCCTTGAGCACACCCACCCAGATGGAATGACTCAGCTGAGGGCCTGCCCAGGCTCCAGCTATGACCTTCCTGTCCCATCACTTGTCGCAGGCCACTTGGGACCGCGCCCCCATCAGATGGTGCCCTTTGAGGCCCTCTGCGCCCCCAGCCCTTGACACACGGTGAGTGGGTTAGGGTTCGCTGAATGAATAACAACACCAACGGTAGCTGTTTGAGGACTTCCTAGAGGCAGGCAGGGTGGACTCCGTCTCTAACCTTCCAACAACATCCCAAGGGCATGGCAGCCATGTGATGAAGAACATTGAGGCTTAGAGACCCACGTGGGCCAGCACAGCCATAAAGAAACAGGTGGGCCCCAATAAACAGACACGCGTGGACGCACCAGTAGACACAGATGCACAAAGAGACCTTAGAGGAAAGAATGCCCTCCACTGACACACACACACACACACACACACACACTCACTATGCTGATACAACGCTCGCTTAGGTCACACAAACCCACACATGAAGTTCACACATCCACAGTCCCTAGCACACCCCCTCCCAGGTACCCGTTCTTCCCCCGCTCCCAGTGCTGTGTGTCCATTTCCGGTTGTCTCTGGGCTGTCCTCTCTCTTCTGTGGCGCTGCCCCAGGGTCCCTCTGGGGAGGCCTGACTTGTGGCAGGGGGAGGGCGCTGACTCATCCATCCAGAGCAGTTCCTTCCCACAGCTCTTCCCGCCCCTGGAAGTCACGCCACCCCCAGCCCAGCCCAGCTGGGGTGACCTCTCACCCCAGGGCACCCGGGTGGAAGGGGAACGCTTTGTGCCCTTGTCGTGGGGTGAGCGTGTCCAACACTGGCATGGACCCCAGGGACCCTTAGTCCTCTCCTTAGGAGTGAGTTACAGTTGCCACCTCTCCTGCCTGCTCTGGAGCACAGAACTGATGCCAGGGTCTCCAGGGCTCCCGGCCCCCAGCGGCAAAGGTGGGGAAACTGAGGCCTGGGGGAGGCGCCTGTCTGAGGCCCCGATGGGCATGGGAGCAGCGTGGACTTCCTGAACGCTCGGCAGTGCCTGGTGGGGGCAGGAAGCCAGTAGGAGGGAAGTTCCAGGAACCAGAGCTCCACCCCCACCTCCCCTGGCACTCCTGCAACATCCCTGATGCAGAGACAGGACGGGAGCCTGCCAGGCACCATCCTTCATTAATATGACAGAACTTCCTGAGTTCCCTCAGCTCCGCCTGGGATCACAGAGAGTAAGGGCGGCACCACGTGGCCAGGATGCCTGAGACACACACACACAGGCACCCTCAGAGTGGGGCTGAAGGGTCATTCTTGGAGCCCCTGGTGTGGCTGGAGCTGGGGCATCCATCCTGGCGGAAGCTGGGGGTACCAGCTGGGCATGGGTGATAGGGAGATGGAGGAGGGGGAGGGGTGAGGGGATTGCGGTCACGGAAGCAGGGGTGGCATGGCGACGGAGAGGGGAAGTCTGTAGCTGCCCAACGTCCAGTCCTTGGGGTCAGGAGCATCCTTCCTGGCCTTGGATGGGATACGGTATGTACACAGGCTCTCTCCTTGTTACAAACAGGGGTCTGGGATGGGCCACTGGCCATGGTCGGCCACCAGGCCCATGAAGCCCATTGTACAGATTAGGAAACTGAGGTCCACTGGCTTCTCATCCTGGCCTGGGACTATCCCATAGCAAGGAGGTGGTCGAACTGGGACAGAAACTCCAGTCAAATGGAGTGAGATCTTGAATTTGTCATCTCTGCACTTAAACTGACTCCCTGAAAAATAAGAGGTGTCTGAGAAGGTCTCTGAGGTCCCATCTGGCCCTTATGGGTTGGGAGGCTGCATGGAAAGCCACAGGCTCAGTGGCAACAGGGACTGGTGACCGCTGTGCTGGCGTCTGGGACACACAGGCTGCTCACACTGGCTGGAGGGTGGCGGCTCTGCGGCTGGTGATGTGTTTGTAGAGGAGTGGGAGAAATTAAGGAACAGCAGTGCTGGAGCCCTGGACGGCTGTCTGTGGCTAAAATATTATTCTTTGAAGTCAAGGTCACCAGAGCTTGGCCTGAGGCCTGGGAGTGCTAGGGTGAGAGGCAAGAGGGCGGGAGGGTGCTCCCCTTTGATGTTGAGCAGTGGAAATCCTGGCGGGATGGGGTGGGGGCCGGTCCCATACCAGCAGATGCCAAGTCTCTCCTCCCCCCCCCCCCCCCCCCCCCCCCCCCCCCCACGCCAGGGCTCATGGAAGGAGTGAACTGTGTCCAGGGAAAAGCAAGCTCAGTTGTGCCTGGAAAACACTACATCAGGCAGGAATTTCCTGGTCATTTCTCAATCCTTGGGCAATGTTCTAACCCCGTGGGGCCTGAGCCCAGAATAGATGCCAGAAGCCACCCCAGACAGCCTTGCAGACTGGTCAGCTGTGCCCCTCAGGTCCCGCCCGGGTCCCTGCTGGCAAACTCCCAACTCCAGGGTGATGATGACTCAGGTGATCCCCACCCGGCCGACGCTGGGAAGGGAAGAACGCTGGCAGAGTCCTGAGTGTGCGAGGTGGCAGGTGGCTCGGTGATGGGGACCGTGAGGGGACACAGGGAGGGGGAGGGGGAGGCAGGAGATGGATGTCTTGGGGAGAGGGCATGGAGGGAGCGTGCCGGGGAAGGCGGACGGAGGCCAGGGCCCTCTGGGGAAAGCAGAGGCGGGGGAACGTGGGGCAGAGAGAGGAAATGAAAAAGCCGGGGTGAGCAGGCAAGATGAATAGGAAGGGAGGGAGGAGGGAGGGGAGGAGGGAGAAGCTGACACTCGGAGAGGGACCCAGCCAGCACGACCCCGGAGAAGGAGCGAGGGGACAGAGGAGGAGCTGAGAGAGACCGCACGCAGTGAGGAGGGGCTGGGAAAGCAGAAACGCGGAGAAGGGAATAGACGGCTGTCAGGAGAGAGGGAGGGAGGGAGGGAGGCAGAGGGGGTGGACCAGGGAGGAGACAGAGACAGAGACACAGCAAGAGACAGAGACAGAGAAGGAAAGAACTAGGGGCTTGAAGAGGAAAAGACTAGACAGAGAGACAGATGTAGGGAAGGAAAGAAATAGGGGAAAGAGAGAGAGAGAGAGTACCAGAACCTGGGGAAGACAGAGGGGAGAGAAATAGACAGTCGCACAAGAATTGCGGTGGGTTGGCTGGGACCCTCCCTCCCCCCGACCTCCAACTGCAGCGAGGACCACGGGGAGGGGAGCGCGGTGGTGGGCGTCGCAGGGCCGGACCCGGCTCGGCTCCCCTCCGTCGCCACCTCTCACCCCGGGGACCCCTCCGGCCCAGGCGGCCGCCGGAGGCCGGGGATGGCGGATTCGTGCCAGAACCTCACGTACGTGCGGGACTCGGTGGGCCCGGCCACCAGCGCCCTGATGTTCGTGGCGGGCGTGGTGGGCAACGGGCTGGCGCTGGGCATCTTGGGGGCGCGGCGACGGTCACGCCCCTCGGCCTTCGCGGTGCTGGTCACCGGGCTGGCGGTCACCGACCTGCTGGGCACGTGCTTCCTGAGTCCAGCGGTGTTCGCGGCCTACGCCCGCAACAGCTCGCTGCTGGGCCTGGCCCGGGGCCGCCCGGCGCTGTGCGATGCCTTCGCCTTCGCCATGACCTTCTTCGGCCTGGCCTCCACGCTCATCCTCTTCGCCATGGCCGTGGAGCGCTGCCTGGCGCTCAGCCACCCCTACCTCTACGCCCGGCTGGACGGGCCGCGCCGCGCCCGCCTGGCGCTGCCCGCCATCTACGCCTTCTGCGCCGTCTTCTGCTCGCTGCCCCTGCTGGGCCTGGGCCAACACCAGCAGTACTGCCCGGGCAGCTGGTGCTTCATCCGTATGCGCTCGGCCGAGCTGGGCGGCTGCGCATTCTCGCTGGCCTACGCCAGCCTCGTGGCCCTGCTGGTGGCCGCCATCTTCCTCTGCAACGGCTCGGTCACCCTCAGCCTCTGCCGCATGTACCGCCAGCAGAGGCGCCACCACGGCTCGCTGGTCCCCAGCACCCGGGCGGGCGAAGACGAGGTTGACCACCTGATTCTGCTGGCCCTCATGACGGGCATCATGGCCGTGTGCTCCCTGCCTCTCACGGTGAGTCCTCTCGGCAGATCGGGGTGGGCGGTGGGGAGGAAGGCAGAGCCCAGCGCCATCCTCCATCGTTTGTACCCATTTCACACATGGGGAAACTGAGACCCGGAGAGATGAGAGGCTTTGTCCAGGGTCAAACAACTCCCAACTTGCTGGAGAAGTCTCCCCATTTGCTTCTGCCCCATTTGACCCCTTCTGACCCTTGTCTCCCCCTTCCATATCTCTAGCCCCCCAACCCTACCAATTCCACCCCCCACCAACCTTCTCCTACCCCTACAATGATAATAAGATCCGCCATTCATTGCTCTCTGTCCACCCTGTGCTCAGTGGTTTAGAAATCCTTTCTCCGATAATCTCCAAAATGATCTTATGCATCTATTCCACAAGCATTTAGCAAGAAATGTGACGAAGTCTCTGCCCTGTCACCATTTTTACAGAGGAGAGGTGATGATGTCTTTTGCCCATGATCACACAGAGGCAGGTCTGCACCCTGGGCTCCTCTGATGCCAGAGTCTGATCTCCCTGCCACCGTGCTCCCCACTTCCCCAGCCCCACCCATGGGTCTGCCCTTGGCATCTCCTGGCCTCGCCCCTTTCCTGCAGGAACTCCTGCCCTGCCCCTCCCAAATTGCAGTGGGGCCAACCCTGGTCCTGTGGCACCCAGTCATCCTGTCTATACTCTGGGCCTCGGTTTCTCTTTTTGTAAAACGCAAGGGCTGGGCTAGATCTGAGGGTCGTCAAACCTTTGGGGGGTTACAGAGGACTCAGAAACTGGACACACACAGACACAGCCCTGGGACCCAGCCCTACCGCCCCATCTCTCCCCCTCTAGGGCTTTGCTGGCTGTCTCCTGGGGCTTTCTCTCCCTCTGCTCCCCAGATGCACTTGTTTGTTAGTTTTCATCTTATCTTATTTCCTTCCCCTTCGGACAGGCCACCCCTCCCTCGTTTCTGCCAGTGAGCAAGTGGGGGGAGGGGATCGAGGGTGGGGTGTGGGTGGGGGCAGAGGACTCGTGGGTGCTGCTTGACACCCTCACTCTGCCCTCAGATCCACGGCTTCACCCAGGCCATCGCCCCGGACAGCAGTGAGATGGGGGACCTCCTCGCTTTCCGTTTCAATGCCTTCAACCCCATCCTGGATCCCTGGGTCTTCATCCTTTTCCGCAAGGCCGTCTTCCAGCGGCTCAAGCTCTGGTTCTGTTGCTTGTGCCTGAGGCCTGGCCAGGGCGACTTGCAGACGTCCCTCTCCCAGCCGGCCTCGGGGAGGAAGGGCTCAAGGGCCCCCACTTCTCTCGGGGGGAAGGATGGGAGCTGGGTGCATTCGTCAGCCTGGGGCGAGGGGCAGGGGGCACCCTTGCCTGTCCTACAGCCATCCAGCAGCACCGTGGGAACACCGTCCAAAGTGGGGTCCGAGACAGCCTGCTCCCTCTGCTGACATCTGCCCCGTGATCTCCTGCCCTGTCTTCCGAGAGCAGCAGCCAGAAATTCAGGGGCTTGACCGGTGGCTGCGGGTGGACAAGCCCAGAGCTGGATCCTGGAGCCCAGCCGGCCAGAATGTTGACCCCCTGGATTCAGGGGGGTGATCAGCTGCTATTTCTCCTCCTTCGGGGTGGCCACGATGGGCTGTGGGAGGAGGGAGAGAGGGAGAGGAAACAATTATCCTGGAGCATAAAAAGAACAGTTCTCTCAAAATATCCAGTGGCCTGGGTGGCCTGGTCTGGCCCTCGCTTTGCCTATCCATCTTGCTGTCTAAATATTTAGAAGGCAGAAAAGTTCCCAGCAGCTTCTGTGCACTCAGGTCTGCTCTGGTTAGGGTTCTGGCTCTGATCCTCATTCATGCAGGGTGCCCTGGATGCCCACCCCAAACCCCCAGCGGACAGTCCTGCCCTCTCCCAGTCCACTCCAAGAGCCACCCTCTCTCTGCCTCATGGGAGCCCAGGATTCTCCGACAAGCTCCCTGCTTCCCTTTACTTCTGATTCCCCATCAGACTTGGGAGGCCTGGTCCCCACAGGGGAGGTGAAGAAGGGGAGACTGTTGCATTGTGGGTGACACCACTGGACAGGTGCCTGGAAACTGCATGGCTTGGTGAGTTGCAAGATGTGGATGGTGGGGCCCTGGGCTGGGGGAGAAGCTGGGGAATGAAGCGGTGGGAGGCACGGAACCCAGGGACGGCCCAAGAACTCAGACCTAAGTCCTGTGCCTGTCCCTATGCCCCCTCTCAGAGCCTCACTTCACCGCCTGTGTCCTGGGAACTGCCACCCAAATGTCATTCATTCATTCATTCATTCATTCAACATAGTGGGCGCTGACTCTACCAAGTGCTGGGGACACAGAGCAGTCTCGGCCCCACCCTGGATTCCTCTGGGGTGATTTCCAGCCTTCAATTCCCCTTCTGATTGCTGGGGTGTTGTCCAGCCATCCACCCCTCCCCCCTTCTCGTTGCCATCCCCTGCCCTCAGGTACAGAATTCAAGGGTTTTCCAGGAGTGAACATGAAAGGAAGTGGTGCTTCTGCTGGTGGGAGGAGGTGAATGGGAAAGCGCCCCCCAGACTCACCCCCAGCCCTGGGTTCCCCTTTCTCACTTGGCTTCAGGGTTAAAACAATAAATCTGCCCCTGGGGAGGGCTGGAGGAGTAGATGAGGCATGAGCTTCCTATAAAGGCAATAGCGGCGGCCATGGAACCCGTGCCCCCTGCAGTGGAAGCCCAGAGCCCTAACCACTGGACCACCAGGGAAGTCCCTGGTCTATCTTTTTAGCTTCTTAGCTCAGATCACTGTTGGGCTGAGGAGTTTGCTTTGGTTTCCTTTTGCGCAGAATGGTGATCATAATCTAATACTTAGCTTACAAGGCCGTGCTAAGGATTAAATGATTCCCCCGAAAAGCAGTTTAGCACAGGGCCTGGAGTAAAGCCCACAATACGGGTTACCGTTACTGCCGTTGTTATTGTTGTGGCTACTGTAGTGGTCTTTGGCATCTGGGCAAATGCTGTTTGAAAACAACGCTTTTCTCCATTGCTTTGACTTCTTCCCACCAGACGTTATGTTTCATTTGAAGGGGTGTCTGCGAGAGTTAAAAATAGGTCAAACAACTGCTTAATGCATGTGGGGTTTCCTTTTGGGGTGATGAAAATGTCCTGGAACTAGATAGCGGCGGTGGTTGTACAACGTCATGAATGTACTAAATGTCACTGAATTGTACTTTTTAAGATGGTTAAAATGGTACATTTTGTGTTATGGGTATTTTACCACAATAAAAAAAAATGTAATACTGAAAAAACAAATTGAGGAAGTTTAGAAACTGTTATAGCAGTCTTGCCAGAGAAATATTGTATCGCTTGAATTTATTTTTCATTTATTTTTAGAATATTTTATTTTATTTATTTTTGGCTGCGTTGGGTCTTCGTTGCTGCATGTGGGCTTTCTCTAGTTGCGGCGAGCGGGGGCTACTCTCCGTTGCGGTGCGCGGGCTTCTCATTGCGGTGGCCTCTCTTGTTGCGGAGCATGGGCTCTAGCACGCGGGCTTCAGTAGTTGTGGCTCACAGGCTTAGATGCTCCGCAGCATGTGGGATCTTCCCAGACTAGGGATTGAACCAGTGTCCCCCGCATTGGCAGGCGGATTCTTAACCACTGCGCCACCAGGGAAGTCCTATTGCTTGAATTTAATAGTAAAAATTTGACTTGTACCAAAACAAACCAAAAAACAGTTCAAGAAACATCAGGTGGGGTCCGGCCTTTGTTACCAATCCTGGCCCGGCCTCAGTGGGAACCAGCCCAAAGGTGCCCCTGGAGGAGCGTGCAGAAGGGATGGGATGGAGGGGCTGCGTTTCAGGCAGGAATCGAGGTGGGGCAGGGCTGCCTGTCCAGGCAAGACCCCGGGGATGGGAGGCACGCTTCCCTCCTCTCTCTGTGCCGCCCCTGGAAGGTGGGTCAGTTCTGGCCTCAGCATTCGCTGAATGGCAGGGCAGGGCTGGGCTTTAGAACCCACAGCATCCTCACCCAAGGTGAGTGCCATTATCAGTCCTATTTTTCGGATGTGGATTAAGGGGAGGAGAGGATTAAGTGTTGAAGCTGGTTTTCTGCTGGTTTTACCCACCAGGCCTAACATCTCAGGAATCTTCCCCCTCCTCTGCATCCCACTGTTTATCTTAGAGCCCCACCAGCTCTGGCCTGGATGTCTACACTGTCTGCCAGGGTGCGGGTTTTCAAACAACTCCCTCGGCCCCTCCAGGATGATTTGGAAGCTCCTCTCTTGGCTGGTTCCTGACCCCTGACTGCCCGGGTAACCTCTCCGCTGGCTGCCATGGTCCTGTCTGGAGGTCCTGTCTGAATGGTTCCTCCCCTGCCTGCCGAGCTCCAAGGGCTCCCACTGTCCGGAGGCCAACTCCCACACTCTCTGCTTGGCCACAGCAGACAACCGAGGTTTCCCCAAAGAGCCCATGACCTTTGGGGCCTCCACCTCTTAGCTCGCTGAGCTCACCCTTCCCATGAGACGTGTTTCCCCTTCTCCATCTGTCAAAAGCTCCCTTGCCCTTCAAGTTCCTGCTTTAGGCTATTCCTCCTCCTTGAAGACTTAATCACTCCTCTCAGGCGCTCTCAGTGCATCTGAGGCTCCACAATGGTCCTCACTGCAGCCTGTTGTAGCACAGACGTCCGTTCATTCATTCAGCAGGCTCTGATTGAGGGCTTACTGTATGTCAGGTTTTGTCCCTATGACGCTGGGGACATGGCAGGGACAGACAGCCTTGGCCCTGCGCTCCTGGAGCTCACAGTTCAGAGGGGGCAGGGCTGGACGTTGTGAAGGGTGGAGTCTTGGGGGACATCAGGGAGGGTTTCTTGGAGGAGGAGATGGCTGAGCCAGGACCTGAGGATTGGAAGAAGGTTAACCAAGTAAAGAAGAGTGTTTTTGTTGTGCTCACAGTTCTGACTCTGGCCTCTGATGCCTCCTTTCCTTCGTCTCATTCATTCATTCAACACACGTTCCCTTGAGCCTGCTCTGGACCCACGGCTGCTCTGTGCCTGCTGGGGAAATAGCAGTGACTGACACCGCCTTGGCTCTACCTCGCTCACAATTCAGTGGTGGTGAGAATTTAATAATCACAGAAATATGTATTACAATAAGCCACAAAAATATAAATTTACAAGCTGTGGAATGTACCGAGAACACAGTGAAAGGGAGGCGCCCGCTCTGGTCTGGCGTTGGGATCAAGAAGTGACACGCTGGGAACAGGCCTGTCTCCCTCAAGGAGACTTTATGCACTTTTAACTTCATTTCTTGATTCATTTCTGACTTTCGGGCACAGATGGAACCTTAAGCATGCACACACACATACACCCTGGCCAGTCCCCGGGAGTAGCTGCTCTTGGGCCTTCTGTGGTCACTGCCCCACCTGCTGGTCACACTGGGAATGACACTTAGAGGTGGTTCCAGAGCCACTGCATTGGAGCTCCCCTCTGGGAGGTGAGGGGAACCTGGATTTCCCTCCAGTGGGCCCCAGTTGGGCACCTCCCGATGTGTCCCCCTGTGTAGTCACTTTCTCAGGACAGGTTTTGAGCTGGCCTAGAGGATCTGTGAGCCTGAGTTGGAAGTGACCCACAGCAGCATCAGCTGGTGCGTGCCCCTCGCTGCCTTAATAACGCAGGCCATGTGGGAGTCAAAGTCAAAACACAGGGCCCAAGGGGGAAATAAACGACGGGGCAGTAGAGAAGTGCAGGCAAAGCAATGCGGTGCTTAAAATCGTGGGCATTTGGGATGCGAATAATCTGGGGTTCAAGTCCCAGCTCACCCACCTCCAAGAAGTGTGGTGCTAGAGGTTTTAGCTGCCCCCCCGACCCCCGCCTCCATTCCTTTCAGTTCTTCTTCTTTTTTTTTTTTTTTTTGGCTACACTTCCCAGAACTTCCCAACCAGGGATTGAACCCACGCCCCTGCAGTGGAGGTGCAGAGTCTTAACCACTGGACCGCCAGGGAAGCCCCCTCCTGTCAGCTCTTGATGATAACTTATCTTGTGCTCATATGCCCACTGGGGAGGATGCATGTCATAAATGCATACTAAATTTTATTAGGACTCAACCTGGCCTGGGTGAGAGGTAAATGAGACGATGTCTAAAAAGCGGCACAATATTTTCTGATCCTCCTTTGAGAGACAATTACTATGCTCCATTTTGCAGACTGGTAAACTGAGGCTCAGAGAAGTGAAGTCACTGCTCCAAGGTTATCAGGTAGGAAGTGACAGAGGTGGGACCTGAGGCTTAGTGAGTATACAGACACTGCAGTGGTGACGCTGGGTTGGAGCCCAATTCTGTGAGTCACCAAAACCTATCTTCTTCACAGCTATAAGACCAGAATTTTCCACAGGTATCCTGGCTGCTAAGAAGGCAGCTCCCATCTCAGACTCCACCGCTGTGACCCCAGCCTCAGCCTAGCCTTCCCACTGGCTGGCTCTGGCCTACCTGAAATCATCTTAAAAAAAAAAAAAAAGACCATTTACTCTAAAGCCAGGCAGCTGAGAGCATGGACTGACTGCTCAGGTCACATCTGCTTCAGATTCCAGCTCTCACTTTCTGCTTAATCACCCTGGACTAGTTCCTGCACTTCTCTGGGCCTCAGTTTCCTAGTCTGCCAAATGGGGACTAACAGCACCCAGCCCAGATGGCTGCTTGAAGGATTCAATGAGATCATGGAGGCAGAGCTTAGAAGACAGCCCGTGGAGTAGAAGGCACCCAATGGAGAGCAGCTCATGCCCCCTGGACGCTCACTGCACCCCAGGCCTGGCTCCTGCGGGCTCACCAATCCTCGGCTGGCCCTGGTCAGTGGGTTTTCTTGGCCACATCACATGGTATGCGGGACTTAGTTCCCTGACCAGGGATCGAACCCACGCCCCCTGCAGTGGAAGCATGGAGTCTGAACCACTGGACCACCAGGGAAGTCCCGAGGTCAGTGTTACCACAGCCCCACTTTCCAAACAGGGGCAGAGAGCCGTCTACCCAAGGCCATGCACGCAGTTAAGTGCCCCGGACCCCGAGCCCTTACCCACAACACTCTACCATCTTTACTGCACCAATTTCGAGCCACAACCAGATGGCAGAAAAAGGGGGCAGAGAAACTGGGGCTTTGGAAAAATGTGTCTCCTTTCCGCCACAGGAAGGGCCCTGAGTTTGAACCCTGCCAGGCTTCTTCGTCCTCCCAAGGCCGGGTAAAGGTGAGAAGTCTTTTTACTCCACTGAGCTGTCTCTGCTCGCCTCCTGCCCAGCCCCTGGTTGAGTGAGAGCAGCTCAGATGTTAGATGACGTCTACCGACCAGTGTTTGGTAGTTGGGGGCGGCGCCTCCCCTCCTTTCTTTTTCATCCCCACTTACCTCAGGGAAGCTGAGGAGCTTTCTACGGTTTGCAATTGTTTGGGGCTTTTTCTTTCAAATCTTAGTCGTGTGCCCTCTCCAGGAGCTGACTGAAGCTGTGAGCTCAGGATCACGCCTCTTTTCTCCCCACCGCGTGTTCGAACTTGGCACTCAGGGTTCCCGCTTGACACTGGTCACCTCTTGGCCGGAGCACCCTGTCGAGACGCCCCCCCCCCCCGGCCTAGGCCCCCAGGGCCTGACCCTGCCGCCTTGTTCTCTGGGATGATGCCTTTCCTTCCCCCACCCCCACACAGCCAGGTGACCACTCACCTTTCAGCTTGATGCTGCCCGCCGCCCTCAACCCCCAAACTGGGATGTTCTTGTGACGCAATGGACCTGCCTCAGGCCTTCTCAGGCCTCATCTTGCAGTCATTCGTGTGACTGATACAGGCCCCCACTAAGGCGGGCTCAGTCTCTCTCGCACACGCGTGCAGGTCCCAAGATGTCCAATGGCTGGCACTCAGAGCTGACGGGCTGCGCCGCCAGGATAGAATCCTGCCCTCAACCACCCGGCCGTCTGGTTGGGCTCTGAACTGTGGCTGTGCAGTGCTGAGGCCAAGTCTCTTGAGCGAGCATGGAGGACAGGCTCTTCTGGGGAAGGGCTCCAGGCCCTTGCAGGCAGCAGGCCCATTAACCAAGACAAGAGTAGAAGAGCGGAGTCAGGTAGTCACTGTATTTTATTGGAAAACATTGATATATATTTTTCTTCACAGCTTGAACTGAACACAATATTGCCCGGTTTAAAAAAAACAAACCAAAACACTCCGAAAACATCCACAGCCTAACGCTTACCTGCCCTAACCCTCAGCTCTCGGCTAGGTCTCCCACTATGCCCCATCCCTCCCCTTCCGTCCCCCGGAGGTTGGGTGCCCGAGGGTGAGGATGAGAAGAGATTCTCAAAGCTGGGCAGGTCC